TCCTCTTCACCATAAGGTTCTAGGATTAGACATTAAACATCCCCTTTTCACCAGAAAGTTATAAGGATTAGACATCAAACATCCCTTCTTCATGATAAGGTTATAAGGATTAGATATCAAACATCCCCTTTTCAACAGAAGGTTATCAGGATTAGACATCAAACATCCCCTCTTCACCATGAGGTTATAAGAATTAGACATCAAACATCCACTTTTCACCAGAAGGTTATAAGGATTAGCCATCAAACATCCCTTCTTCATCATAAGTTTATAAGAATTAGACATCAAACATCCCCTTTTTACCAGAAGGTTATAGGGATTAAACATCAAACATCCCCTCCTCGCCAGAAGGTTATAACGATTAGACATCAAGCATCCCCTTTTCACCAGAAGGTTATAAGGAATAGACATCAAGCATCCCCTCCTCGCTATAAGGTTATAAGGATTAGACATCAAGCATCCCCTTTTCACTAGAAGGTTATAAGGATTAGACATCAAGCATCCCCTTTTCATGAGAAGGTTATAAGGATAAGACATCAAGCATCCCCTTTTCACCAGGAGGTTATCAGGATAAGACATCAAGTATCCCCTTTTCACCATAAGGTTATAAGGATTAGACATCAAGCATCCCCTTTTCACCAGAAGGTTATAAGGATTAGACATCAAGTATCCTCTCTTCACCAGAAGGTTATAAGGAAAAGACATCGAGAATCCCCTTTTCACCAGAAGGGTATAAGGATTAGACATCAAGTATCTCCTCTTCACCATAAGGTTATAAGGATTAAACATCAAGCATCCCCTTTTCACCATAAGGTTATAAGGATCAAACATCAAGCATCCCCTTTTCACCAGAAGGATATAAGGATTAGACATCAAGCATCCCCTTTTCACTAGAAGGCAATAATGATGAGACATCATTATTGCCTTCTAGTGAAAAGGGGATGCCTGATGTCTAATCCTTATAACCTTCTGGTGAAAGGGGGATGCTTGATGTCTAATCCTTATAACCTTATGGTGAAAAGGGGATGCTTGATGTCTAATCCTTTTCACCAGAAGGTTATAAGGATTAGACATCAAGCATCCCCTTTTCACTAGAAGGCAATAATGATGAGACATCAAGCATCTCCTCTTCGCCAGAGGGTTATAAGGACAAGACACCAAGCATCTCCTCTTCACCAGAAGGTTATAAGGATTAGACATCAAACATCCCTTCTTCATCATAAGGTTATAAGGATTAGATATCAAACATCCCCTTTTCATCAGAAGGTTATCAGGATTAGACATTAAACATCCCCTCTTCACCATAAGGTTATAAGGATTAGACATCAAGCATCCCCTTTTCACTAGAAGGTTATAAGGATTAGATATCAAGAAACCCCTCTCTGCCATGAGGTTATCAGGATAAGACATCAAGGATCCCATTTTCACCAGAAGGTTATAAGGATTAGACATCAAGCTTCCCCTCTTCACCATAAGGTTATAATGATTAGACATCAAACATCCCCTTTTCACCAGAAGGTTATAGGGATTAAACATCAAACATCTCCTCCTCGCCAGAAGGTTAGAAGGATTAGACATCAAGCATTCCCTTTTCACCATAAAGTTATAAGGATTAGACATCAAACATCCCTTCTTCATCATAAGGTTATAAGGATTAGATATCAAACATCCCCTTTTCATCAGAAGGTTATCAGGATTAGACATTAAACATCCCCTCTTCACCATAAGGTTATAAGGATTAGACATCAAGCATCCCCTTTTCATCAAAAGGTTATAAGGATTGGCCATCAAACATCCCTTCTTCATCATAAGGTTATAAGAATTAGACATCAAACATCCCCTTTTCACCAGAAGGTTTTCAGGATTAGACATCAAACATCCCCTTTTCACCATAACATTTTAGCTCGCCAGAGGCTTGCTAAATCAAAACATTCTTAGACTCATTTTATAAATCTCATATGAAATGGAAACTCATGTAAGATACTATATTTACACACCTTACTGAACACTCCTATTACAAGTAGTTGGTGTTTTCTTTGCTGGTAATGTACTGTACTCATCAATGGTTATAGACTGTAAATGTCTTCAAACATTGCCATTAAATGACCTAAGTTGTTAGCCTGTCCCTATAAACCAAACAAATTCCAATCGCCATCGATGTAATGACAGTTGTCATGATGCCATCGACTAATCACTTTAAGGTGGCTACGTAACATACCTGGTGATGACAATATTCTTTTTTAAGAGATGAATTTGTAATCTGAGATTTTTGTAATAATTCACTTAATGCTATAGTCCGTATAATATTTGATAAGAAATGGAATACCAAAGGTATGTCACGTAGAAGACGGACTCTCTATACAAGTGTATGTTTAGGGGATCATCCTGACTATATTTACAAGTTTTTGACATGTACTCGGGATTTGATCGTTATTAATTCATGTATTCACAATTCGGTTACAGGTCATGCGTTTGGTGGTGGAGCTTTTCTGGCCATGTCCCATGACTACCGGGTGATGAGGTCAGATAGAGGCTGGATTTCATGGAACGAGACTCATCTGAAGCTACGTTTAGGTGATATGTTTTTAAACCTCCTCAGGTATGCAAAACTTAATGTAATGTTAGATCTTCTGGTGAACAGCCTTACTGTAATGATAAATTGTCACATGTAAACAACCTTTATTGAAATCATAAATTGTCACAGGTAAACAACCTTTATTGAAATGATAAATTGTCACAGGTAAACAACCTTTGCTGTTATGATAAATTATCACAGGTAAACAACCATTATTGAAATGATAAATTGTCACAGGTAAACAACCTTTATTGAAATGATAAATTGTCACAGGTAAACAACCGTTATTTGTTGTAATGATAGACCGTCTCAAGTTAGCGTACATGGACCTTGCTATGCTGCGAGACATTGTTTATGTAACGTACATGGTCATTTACTTTATTACTTAAACTGCTGTATATATTTAATCAATAAATTTTGAAACATTGATTTAGTCTGTTGTTTTTTAAGTAAAAAGGTATTGGCTATGGAATCTATACGGGAGGCTGTGCTATTCGGTAAACGTGCTACCGCTAATGAGGCCAAAGAACTCTTTCTTGTTGATGCAATGACCGAGTTATCGGAATTGATACCAAAAGCTAAACAGATGGCACTAGAGGCGCTTGGACCTAATGGGATCGACAGGGAGATGTTACAACGAATGAAGCAGGATTTATACGTTAGACCATCTGGGGAGAAGTCCTTCCTACCAGAAACAAATCTTAAAGGATCCAAATTGTGATAAGTGTGCTGTTTTAATGTGCAGCTTACCTGTAAAGACTTGCCAGTTAGGAGAACATTGAACATATCACTAAGGAATAACAATTACCCTAAGTCTAGATGATGCACATTAAACGCTGTGATATATCACTTGTGATTTATTATACAGACTCTGTGATACTTCATAATTTTAATGCAATATATTCCATAATCAGGTCTATCATTTCGTGGCATGAATGTTTCAGCCCATATGATAGGGCACCTTTAAATGAGATAAAGAATGTGATATAGAATATTACATTCCGTAGCTCACACACAGAACAGTATTAATCAGTAGGCCGTCGTTCATCTGTTCCTGACGTCGTTAATCTGTACCCGATGTTGTTAATCTGTACCTGACGTCGTTAATCTGTACCCGATGTCGTTAATCTGTACCTGACGTCGTTAATCTGTACCTGATGTCGTTGATCTGTACCCGATGTCGTTAATCTGTACCTGACGTCGTTAATCTGTACCTGACGTCGTTAATTTGTACCTGACGTTGTTAATCTGTACCCGATGTCGTTAATCTGTACCTGACGTCGTTAATCTGTACCTGACGTCGTTAATCTGTACCCGATGTCGTTAAAATGTACTCGATGTCGTTAATCTGTACCCGACGTCGTTAATCTGTACCCAACGTCGTTTTTGCCACACTTTTGTCATTATTATTAAGAACATTTGTCGATGTGTAATGAATAACCCAAGTACATTGTACATCTTTATCTGTCGGTAGAATTGGTTTATTACCTGGAGCCACATATCTACTCGTGGTTACATTAATTTGTGGGTTTATTCGTTCTTATGCAATCACTACTAGCTACAGCCTCAAAACAAGACGTGTGCATGATAGAAAGTAAGCTTTCTCAGTAACCAGCTGTTATTATCAGGTGGTATCAATACCACTTCAAAAGGATGAGAGTTTCTGTCGACTTTCATGGTTTGATAACATATAAAAACATATACAGTGATCAATCCTCGGTGCTTATTGTGAATCGGATAAGTCTCTGCGGTCCTGGAATAACGCCTTGAACAGTCTCGGATATTTAAACAGCAATGTATGCATGTATATCACACATTCCACGTATCACATCGATTATATCTATTAGATTGATGATTGCTTTAGGAGGCATATTTTATTATTGTACTTACTCTGAATCTGATTTATACAATTTGTTTTGAGATGGAAGATTTATATTTGTATTTATTGTTGGTGTAACAAGAAATCAATGTAGGGAGAATGAGTTATTGTCGGTGATTTGTTTACTACAATTAATTGTGTTGTGTACATTTATTGTCCGCGTTGATAAAATATTTATTAAAATTATTTCGTTAAAGACAATGTTAACGCCTTCTTCTGAATAATCAAAATGGCCTGGGTGGTGATATTTGGCCAGTAGTATGATGGTATGAAGGGTTACCAAGTGTATTCAAATTAATAACCTTCAATCATATTCAAGATCGCACGCGTCGTTTGTCTTAAATTATAAGGATAATGATATTTGCCCATTAATATGCTAGGATAAAATGGCTCCCAAGTATGTCCAGATGAATCATTTTCACCCGTATTCAAGGTCACAGGGGTCAAGTATGATGAAGTCTTTAAACGACTTCTTCTGAATAACCAGAAGGCCCAGGGTGATCTGGCAAGTAACATGCTGGAATGAGTGAATGACCATCGATATACAAAATCACAGGAGTCGAATGTTTTGAAACTTTCAAACAACTTCTGAATTTTTCCAGTAGCATGCTCAGACGAAGAGCTATCAACTGTGTTCCTGTGAATGACCTTGTCTCACTTTTAAGGTGACATATGGTAAAATGTGTATGTATACATCTTTAAATGACCTTACCTCAATAAACAAGGTCTAGTTAAATTTTGAGACCGTGCTCATGAGGCGAATAGAAACAAAACAGAGGACAAAATGAAATACACTAAGGATGGACTTATGAACACGATTGAGTTTCACATTGGTATTATATTGGAAAGTTCGTTTGCAAGATTTTCCATCAGACTAAAGGCATTCCTTTGGTAACAAGCTGTGCCCATCCTCTGGCCTCTTGTGCTTGTTTTCATATAAGGTGGACTTTTTTGAAAATGTCAATAGATCTGGCAGCAAAATCCTTGCCAAGTCCTTGAATTTCATCTTTTAGATATATAGATGATGTGCTGTCTTGAAATAATCACAATTTTGGATGACCACATCGCAGATTATATATTGCAATAATTATAATGTACAACATTTATATAGCGCCCCATATAATTTGTAAGATTACTCTAAAGCGCTTTACAACATATGGATAATAGTATTAGTTATAGTTGTTAAACAAAAAAGGCTTACAATCACCATTATACATTAAACAAGATGATCATCTAAATGTGCATATAAATGAATAAATAAAGGGTGGTATGTACATGACGTCTGTGTGGTACATGACGTCTGTGTGGTATGTACATGACGTCTGTGTGGTATGTGCATGACGTCTGTGCAATGAGCCTAAAATGCAGCCGCGCCATGATATGCACACATGTTGGTTACATTTATTCTACGAAGTAACCAAGTAAAATGTAATTAAATTTGTTTATATCTATCTCAGTGTCCATGCTATTATTATATATGCGAGGTGGCTTAGATAAAGATCAATTGATATTAGGCTGTTCTTCTGTGCGTACAAACATTTGTCACGAGATGCCTGTATCTTCCTGCCACAACATGTTGTGCGTTTTTACCACGTATGACGATGTTGGCAGTGGTCCTATTTTGCATGTTTAACCTTGCTTTTTATGAGAAAGAGTATATATTTTTCATATTTTTCTTGATGTATTGTATAAAATGCATCGAGACTTCTGCCTTGGTGTAGCCGTGATCAAGCTCAGCGTTATATTTGTATGGCCGGTGAAAGTCAACATCGTAAAACAAAATGCCTTGAAGAAAGACCTTCAATTTGTTGTCTAAACTTCACTCAAGCTTCCCTCTCTGTAGCCGTCTGCTTTCTCTACTGGACTAGCGTATGTTTATATCAATCCAAAGCATCAATATATGAACATCACTCGTCACCACATGACGTCAATACTTGACAGATTGAAAAACGGGTTATCAAGTCTACCCCATGGTAAGTTCAGCGGAACAATACTGATCGTGAGTTTGACAGGTTTTTAATAAATCTAGACGTGGTAAAAGGATATTTTACTGTACCTGAATGATATTCACTTGGAGGGGGATTACATGTGCTTACCTTTGATGATGGCGACCTCATTGTATTCCAAAGGCTCAGCAATAAGGATGATATTGTAACAGTATACTTACCTCTGATGATGGCGACCTCATTGTATTCCAAAGGCTCAGCAACAAGAATGATATTGCATACAGTATACTTACCTTGGTTAGATTGCAATTAACATGGGCGTTAACTGCGAGGTGAATACAGTATGATTATTAGTTTGATAAAAGAAGAATAGTATAACATGTAAGCGATGCAGACTTGATTAAATATGAAATAATAAGTTTCCGATTGCATTTTCAGTGCAAAGGGTGAAGAGAATAATTTAAAACATATTGTATATACTCTTTTACAGTTTAATTGTTTATGTCACAAGAAGAAACGAACCTCCACTGGCGATTATCTCATTGAACACAACTCAGCAAGTAGCTGAATACAAGTGAATAATTATATATATATACGGGTTAAGAGATTGACGTTAAATTACAAGTTAAAAGAAAATGTATTCAAAAGGAACTATTCTATCGACACAATGTTTGATACGAAAATTGCAGAATAAAATTTTAAGTAATGTCTGTTTAACTATAAAATTGAGTAAATATATCTGTATGTGAAAGGATTAGTCAAAATTTGACCATTGTCTCATTAGCGATGAGGGATCGGCTGATACTACTGGATTGTATATTAGAAATACACGTGACGCACACTAACGACGCACACGTACCATGGCTTATGTCAGGCCGCCTTCCCGACGTTATCTTTATAACAGCAGACTAGCCACTAAAAAATTCCCATTGTAATGTATAAGTATTGATAATCGCACGCATCCAAAAAACAATATGTGCAGTGGGGTAATATAAGTCTAACTAACTCAAATTTGCTCGGTAGAGTGAAAAAACAAAGGGGCTTACAGGTCCTCCGACTACAGACAAACCGGTATCATGACTTCCAGAGTAATGCTTGTACTTGTGATGGCTTTGAACCTGCTGCATATAAACGCAGGTAAGATGTAATTATGTTGCTTGATAATGATTTTAAAAACATTTTCCATTTTAGATGATTTTTTCTATTTATTTTAATGATCCGATTTTACATTTGAACAAACACTTTCATTGCAAATGATATGTTAGAACGTATAAAACCAATTAACGGGTGAACAAATTTAATTCAGCGGTGTAATATAGAAAACAGGATTATTTCTCATTGCAGTTTGGTATATTAAACAGGCAAATGAATAATACAACATTTAATGCATTTTACAACGATGTTAATGACAATTTACACAACCACGTGCATTCAGTATACATGTATTTATAAAACTGTTTTATTAACGATTCGTTTGATCATTTTTAAGTATCTCTATTATAATTTTCTCTAGACGTCATGTTCTAAGTTTGTTATTAAAACAGTGTTCTAATTTCTTTTCTCTGTAATGAATTTGGTGATATTTGTTCTTGCCATGATGAAATCTTTTGTTGTTTTGCTTAACATTACCAGTAATAATGACAAGGGATAAAAACGAGGCTGAGTATTTGGTAATACAGTGGTTAATAACTATTTTATATTACGAGGATGAGTATTTGGTAATACAGTGGTCAATTACGAGGCTGGGTATACGGTGATACAAAGGTTAATAACGAGGCTGGGTATTTGGTAATACAGTGGTTAATAACGAGGCTTGGTATATGGTGATACAGTGGTTAATAACGAGGCTGAGTATTTGGTAATACAGTGGTTATTAAAAACGAGGCTGAGTATTTGATAATACAGTGGTTAATAACGAGGCTGGGTATACGGTGATACAGTGGTTAATAACGAGGCTGGGTATTTGGTAATACAGTGGTTAATAACGAGGCTGAGTATTTGGTAATACAGTGGTTAATAACGAGGCTGAGTATTTGGTAATACAGTGGTTAATAACGAGGCTGAGTATTTGGTAATACAGTGGTTAATAACGAGGCTGAGTATTTGGTAATACAGTGGTTAATAACGAGGCTGAGTATTTGGTAATACAGTGGTTAATAACGAGGCTGAGTATTTGGTAATACAGTGGTTAATAACGAGGCTGAGTATTTGGTAATACAGTGGTTAATAACGAGGCTGAGTATTTGGTAATACAGTGGTTAATAACGAGGCTGAGTATTTGGTAATACAGTGGTTAATAACGAGGCTGAGTATTTGGTAATACAGTGGTTAATAACGAGGCTGAGTATTTGGTAATACAGTGGTTAATAACGAGGCTGAGTATTTGGTAATACAGTGGTTAATAACGAGGCTGAGTATTTGGTAATACAGTGGTTAATAACGAGGCTGAGTATTTGGTAATACAGTGGTTAATAACGAGGCTGAGTATTTGGTAATACAGTGGTTAATAACGAGGCTGAGTATTTGGTAATACAGTGGTTAATAACGAGGCTGAGTATTTGGTAATACAGTGGTTAATAACGAGGCTGAGTATTTGGTAATACAGTGGTTAATAACGAGGCTGAGTATTTGGTAATACAGTGGTTAATAACGAGGCTGAGTATTTGGTAATACAGTGGTTAATAACGAGGCTGAGTATTTGGTAATACAGTGGTTAATAACGAGGCTGAGTATTTGGTAATACAGTGGTTAATAACGAGGCTGAGTATTTGGTAATACAGTGGTTAATAACGAGGCTGAGTATTTGGTAATACAGTGGTTAATAACGAGGCTGAGTATTTGGTAATACAGTGGTTAATAACGAGGCTGAGTATTTGGTAATACAGTGGTTAATAACGAGGCTGAGTATTTGGTAATACAGTGGTTAATAACGAGGCTGAGTATTTGGTAATACAGTGGTTAATAACGAGGCTGAGTATTTGGTAATACAGTGGTTAATAACGAGGCTGAGTATTTGGTAATACAGTGGTTAATAACGAGGCTGAGTATTTGGTAATACAGTGGTTAATAACGAGGCTGAGTATTTGGTAATACAGTGGTTAATAACGAGGCTGAGTATTTGGTAATACAGTGGTTAATAACGAGGCTGAGTATTTGGTAATACAGTGGTTAATAACGAGGCTGAGTATTTGGTAATACAGTGGTTAATAACGAGGCTGAGTATTTGGTAATACAGTGGTTAATAACGAGGCTGAGTATTTGGTAATACAGTGGTTAATAACGAGGCTGAGTATTTGGTAATACAGTGGTTAATAACGAGGCTGAGTATTTGGTAATACAGTGGTTAATAACGAGGCTGAGTATTTGGTAATACAGTGGTTAATAACGAGGCTGAGTATTTGGTAATACAGTGGTTAATAACGAGGCTGAGTATTTGGTAATACAGTGGTTAATAACGAGGCTGAGTATTTGGTAATACAGTGGTTAATAACGAGGCTGAGTATTTGGTAATACAGTGGTTAATAACGAGGCTGAGTATTTGGTAATACAGTGGTTAATAACGAGGCTGAGTATTTGGTAATACAGTGGTTAATAACGAGGCTGAGTATTTGGTAATACAGTGGTTAATAACGAGGCTGAGTATATGGTAATACAGTGGTTGATAACGAGGCTGAGTATTTGGTAATACAGTGGTTAATAACGAGGCTGAGTATATGGTAATACAGTGGTTGATAACGAGGCTGAGTATTTGGTAATACAGTGGTTAATAACGAGGCCGAGAATTTGGTAAAACAGTGGTTAATTACGAGGCTGGGTATATGGTAATACAGTGGTTGATAACGAGGCTGAGTATTTGGTAATACAGTGGTTAATAACGAGGCTGGGTATATGGTAATATAGTGGTTGATAACGAGGCTGAGTATTTGGTAATACAGTGGTTAATAACGAGGCTGAGTATTTGGTAATACAGTGGTTAATAACTATTTCAAATTTTAAGTAAAAGACCAGGTCAGAAACTATCAACAGTGGCATTGCTTCTAATTTTGAATAATAATTTTGATGGAAAAAACGTTCAATTTAAAGTTAGTCGGGGATAGACAGACATTACTCATTTGTCAACAACTTCGCTTTTCTTACCAACAGACCACGCACGCGCCCAAAAATACATGCATGTGCAACGTTCCTCCGAAATCTACCTGATACATGTAGTAAGGTAACAATTGCATTACATGTGGTTATTGAAATATAATCAATATATATTAAGGAGGAATAAACATCAGTCTCGACTGTTTGGAAAACTATAACACAGACCTGTCCAGTTTTTATTGATTACAGCATTGTCTCACAATCGCTGTATGTTCCTTAACGTATCTGTATACGTGTCTCAATCGCTGTATGTTGCCTAACGTATCTGTATACGTGTCTCAATCGCTGTATGTTCCTTAACGTATCTGTGTACGTGTCTCAATCGCTGTATGTTCCTTAACGTATCTGTATACGTGTCTCAATCGCTGTATGTTCCTAACGTATCTGTATACGTGTCTCGTATGCTTCGATGACATAGCGCCGCTCGTTACTATTATCTGTAAACAGGTGTGAATACATTTGACCTGAATCATCTACGACATACCCCAGCATCATCCAGATAAATAGTGTCATCAGTTTCGTATCAATAATTGTTAGGGCCGCTCGACAAATTATGTTATAACAAAGATGACACAATAAAATGTATCAACCCTGTTTGAGTTAATTAACCTCTGTGTGATTAATCGTACTTTGGCAATATTTCAATGCATTTTAATTTGAGATATTTGTTAACGACAAAGAGTAAATTCTATACTATATTTTGTGTTATAATTTATGGTTGTTTACTTTTCGTCATATAACTTTTAATGAGGAATCAGTACGTTTATTCGAATCTGTGAGAATTTTGTCCTGATTGCCGAAAAGACGTCGGTATACACGCCTAAATATTATATTACACATAAAAATCGACCTGTTTCTGAATGTTTTTTGAGAACGAACCAATTTGTTCTTAATGGTTTTGTGAGAACGTCCCGATTTTTTCTAAATGATTTTGAGAAGACGTCCCGATTTATTTCTGAATGTTTTCGTGAAAGCGTCCCGGTTTTTCTTCAAAAGTTATGTGAGAACGTCTCGGCGTGTTCCTCAACAAGACGTCCGGGTTTGCTCCTCAATGGTATGTGAGGGCTTCAGGGTTTGTTCCTCTATGGTTTTGTGAGGACGTCCTGATTTGTTCCTCAATGGTTGTGTGAGGACGTCCGGGTGTTTTCCTCGATGATTTTGTTAAGAAGACCCGATTTGTTCCTCAGTGGTTTTATGAGGACGACCCGATTTGTTCCTCAGTGGTTTTATGAGGACGACCCGATTTGTTCCTCGGTGGTTTTATGAGGACGACCAGATTTGTTCCTCAGTGGTTTTATGAGGACGACCCGATTTGTTCCTCAGTGGTTTTATGAGGACGACCCGATTTGTTCCTCAGTGGTTTTATGAGGACGTCCTGATTTGTTCTTAATAGTTTTTGTGAGGACGACCCGATTTGTTCTTAATAGTTTTTGTGAGGACGACCCGATTTGTTCTTAATGGTTTTGTAATAACATCCCGTTTTGTTCCTCAATGGTTATGTGAGGAAGATCAAAGTATTCCCCAATATTAACAGTCAATACAACTGTATAAATCAATACAAGACACAAGATACAAGATAGAAGAATTTTTATTTAGAGTCATATATGTTGTAATGGGAACCTTAGCTCTGTAGAGCTATCATTACAACAAACAAAGGTATACAAACAGGATATATATAAGACAACATGCAGAAAACAACAGGCATATAGCAAGGTTTATACACACACAGACAAGGGGAAAAAAACAACACAGCATGCAGTAATTACAAACAACTTTGCACGTACAGATATTTTGCAGCATTATGAAACGTTTTAAAGACACATCTTTAATAAGATGCATCAGCTTGGAAATATGTGATATCAAAGTTGTACTTTCTACACAAACAATGTAGGTATTAAACGTGTCGCAACGTTTCGAGGCCGACTGGTCCCTTTGTCAAGCTAAGACCGACTGGTCCCTTTGTCAGGCTATGACTGAGTGACACCTTACTA